GTCCGGGCTGGGGATTCGAACCCGCCACCTTAGGTGTACGTGGCTGGCGCCTTAGCCGGTTGAGCTATAGGTGCCGAGCCCATTACACATTTTATGTATGTAACAAAGTTTTGCATGTACCCTATAAAAATGTACTCTTACATATCAACAAAACGTATGTAAGAGAAGGACATTTCAGTCAGAAGGAACAGTGTGATCAAAACCTGAGAAGAATCAAAGTCTGTGGTGTATTCAGGAGTAGCAAGGGTAGGATGGTAGAGGGGGCAGGTGGGATGGGGAGAATGGAAGACTGGGCTGGAAAAGTGTAACAGAGAATTCTTGGGGGCAGCTCAGAAGTTGGCTTGCAAGGTCATTGAAGGAGTCTCTCTGAGCTGTAAGGTCCCTGGGGAATTTGGAGTACAGTGTAACTCTTTTATCTACCAAGTCTAACATACTGAGTTGTTACCCTCTCCTCAGTTGTAAAGAGGTGTTTTATCATTGTATTTCTTTCCTTTTATTTATGCTTTACTCTTGCTAGTTCCTCATTGTCTTATTCTGTGGCAGTCTGTGTCTGTGTGGGGTGTTGGAGGACGAGTGGAAATGACTGTTTCCAAGTTCATGGCAATTCAGCAGGCCCTTCAGCCAGACTGGTTCCAGTGCCTCTCAGATGGAGAGGTGTCTTGTGAAGAAGCAACTTCCATAAAAAGGGCCCGAAAGTCTGTTGACCGGTCACTTCTGTTCCTGGATAATTGTCTGCGGCTACGGGAAGACTCAGAGGTAAGGCTGCCCCACGAAACCCTCCTTCTGCTGGGAACTCTTGCCTGCCTTACATTCCATGACATGACCTTTTCTGTTCCTTCTCTGTTTCTCTGCTCCTCTCTTCTTGGTCTGTTTTACTCTCCCCTAGTTTTACTTGCTGAGTAATTCCAAAATTGTATATACCATCAAGATCATACTACCAAGCTTCAGAATTACATAACTACCAGGATACAGCTAGGTTATATCACTAGACTATCCCTCACACCCGGAGTTAACCAGACTCATGGTGTTCTCTCCACAAACCTGTGCTTCCTTTTGCTCTTCCTGAACACTTTATCTCAGTTTATGGTATCCACTAACTTCCTCAGCCCCCAGATTTGATCTTTTCAAGACTTTTTCCCACTTACATTTAATATCCAGTTGTTCACTCTTCCTTAATTCCATCTGCCCCCTCTTTATCACCACCGTAACCCTACTATATCATCTCGTGCATACATGATTACCTTTGAATTGTTCTCTCGGCCTTCATCCTTATTTTATATAATCCATTTTCAGCCCTGTCATCTGAGAGATGATTACAAAAAGATACAGAAGAGGCTGGGCATGGTGGCTCATGCCTGTAATTCTAGCATTCTGGGAGGCTGAGGCAGGAGGATTACTCGAGCTCAGTAGTTCAGCTTGAGCAAGAGCAAGACCCCACCTCTGGAAAAAACAGAAAAATTAGTGGCAGGCATCTATAATCCCAGCTACACAGGAGGCTGAGGCAAGAGGATTACTTGAACCCAAGAGTTTGAGGTTGCTGTGAGCTAGGCTGATGCGATGGCACTGTAGCCTGGACAACAGAGTGAGACTCTCTCTCAAAAAAATTTTTTTAAATGCCAAAGAAAATTAAGCCAAAAACAGGATCTTAGGGGAGCTTCGGTATTGAAAGGCATTCAAAATAAGAGGGTCTAGTGTATAAGATGGGGAAGTAATCATGGTAAAGGAACAGATGTTTGTAGATAGAGAAAGCAGGCAGTCATACGGGCTTGACCCAATAACTAGCACAGCCCAATTTGGAAAACTCGCTTTTCTAGGTAGAAGAAATATGATTCTTTTGTTCACTTCCCTAAGAGAATTTAATGACTTTTCGCTTTAGCTCTTACATGGCATGGACAGCCTGCTGTGACCTGGGCCTCTGCCTACTCCTCCAGCTCACTGTGGGATACGTTCCTGTGGCCTGCACCCTGGGCTTTCTGAGTTTCTTACAATTCCTTGAGGCATTAAGCCTGTTTCATTCTGGTGCTCCTGGGTACAGATTTCTTTCTGGACTGTTTCTTATCAGCAGCCTTATTCCTTCTCTTGCTTCCACATTGGGCTCATTTCATTCTTTTCATCATTCTATGAAAGTGGTCGCTGATACTGGTACTTCTGGGAACTTTAGCTCACTGCTTGCTACTCCTTTAATTAGTGTGCATCTGCACTATGGCCCCAATCATATTTTATTGCAGCGTTTTCTTTTTCTTTTCTCTCTCTCTCTTTTTTTTTTTGAGACAGTGCCTCAAGCTGTCCCTCTGGGCAGAGTGCCATGGCATTACAGCTCACAGCAACCTCCAACTCCTGGGCTCAAGCGAGTCTCCTGCCTCCGCCTCCCAAGTAGCTGGGACCACAGGCACCCGCCACAACGCCCGGCTATTTTTTGGCTGCAGCCGTCATAGTTGTTTGGCGGATCCGGGCTGGGGATTCGAACCCACCACCTTAGGTGTACGTGGCTGGCGCCTTAGCCGGTTGAGCTATAGGTGCCGAGCCTTTTTTTTGTTTGTTTTAAAACAGAGTCTCACTTTGTCACCCTCAGTAGAGTGCTATGATATCATAGATCACATCAACCTCAAACTCTTGAGCTCAAGTGTTCTCTTGCCTCAGCCTCCTGTGTAGCTGAGATTATAGGCACCCTCCACAAAGTCCAGATTTTTTTTTTTTTTTTAGTGACGAGGTCTCGCTGTGGTTTAGGCTGGTCTTAAATCCATAAGCTCAGGCAATCCACCTGCCTTAGCCTCCCAGAGTGCTGAGATTACAGGAGTGAGCCACTGGGCCCAGCTTGTAGTAATTTCTTATCTGTTTGTCTATATTAAAAGTATGGGCTCCTTAAGCTCAATTTCTATGTGTCATTTTTATGTCTCCATCATATAGCAGCGTGGCTGACATACAGTAAGCCCTTAGCAAATGTTTGCTGATGGTTATTGGTTACCATGCAGTGAGAAAGATGAACCTGTAGCAGTAAATAAGGGATCCTGATAGCAGAGTTAATGAAATTGGAAAAGTACACTCATTAGCAGCAAGCAGAGGAAGTAGGGGAATAGAAAATAATGAGCAGAAGAGAGACTTTCAGTGTCCAAGATCATGTCTGTGGAATGGTTCTGAGTAATGATCAGATCCTGCTATGACAAAGCATGTTGAGTTTGAGGAATATTGTTATTTTGAATTTAACAGTAAAAATATAATTTGGGACCAGATAGGGTGGCTTGCTCTTGTAATCCTAGCACTCATGGGAGGCTGAGGCAGGAGGATCACTTAGGGCCAAGAGTTTGAGTACAGCTTGAGCAAAATAGCAAGTCCCTGTCTCTACAAAACTAAGAAAAAATTTATCTGAGTATGGTGGCACACACCTGAAGTCCCAGCTACTTGGAAAACTGAGGCAGGAAGATCACTTGAGCCCAGGAGTTTGAGTTTGCAGTGAGCTTTGATGATACCACTACACTCTAGCCTGGAAAGCAGAGTGAGAGGACCCTTTCTCAAAAAAATGTGTATCTCTGTATATAATTTGGCTAATAAAGTTAATATACATGAGATAATTAGAGGAAACTTAGTTGTTTTTCTGAATAGAAGTCACACTATCTGCCATACGAATTCCATGGAAGGACATTTGTGTGGGTCTGGGTAGTGTTTGTGGGTCACTAGCAATTATTTTAATCCAGTATTTAGCCTTCTAGGGCTAGTAATGTTTGCGTAAGTAAAAAAGCAGAGTAGAGGGTATAACAAAAATGATTATTAGAAAAGATCTGGTGAGTCTCCAGTCGCTCATCTGTGTTATAATCAACCTCATCATTTCATGTCACTTCTGTATACTGGTCAAGTGTTGGAGTCCCCCTGTGTCCATTACATTTACACTCTACTTGGTGCAATCAAATAGTGCCCCCTTTTTTCTTAAGTGTTCCAATTTAGACAGTAACCTTATAATCATTCTTATACTCATGAAAGAGAGCTTTCTGAATAGGGCCATGCTAGTCATGTAAGGGGGCAGGCCTGGTTAACTCTCTGTTTTGAGTATGTGCATACATCTTTTCCTTTTCCCATGATTCTTTCCCAGAAAGTCTCTCTTCTGCTCATTATTTTCTATTCCCCTACTTCCTCTGCTTGCTGCTAATGAGTGTATTTTTCCAATTTCATTAACTCTGCCATCAGGATCCCTTATTTACTGCTACAGGTTCATCTTTCTCACTGGATCCACTTATTCTAAATGCCCTTTAGTGCTGAAGCTTCCCGAGGCTCTGTTTTTGATTTTCTTTTCTTCACATATTCCCTGGGTCAGGGATAGCAAATGAGTGCTTAGAGCCATGCCCAGGTACAGCAGGAAGAAAGGCAATTGTCTGTTAGCCAGGTTAGCCAGGTCTACCATGGAAGCAGGAGTGGAGAGTGGTAGCTTTGTGTCAAGTGTCTGCCATTCTAGCCTGGGTGATCGCATTTGTGTCTCATATAACCAGAACTTTAGATTCCTATGTTCACTGGCTGAATTAAGATGGCCATTTGTACATCCTACTGACACGTCAAACTTGGGATACACAAAACTGAATAACCTTCTTGTCTCATCCTGCTGTTTTTCTAGGAGTCTTTGCTCCTCTAACCATCTCCCTGGACTTCTAGAACAGGAGCTGGGAGTCATTCTAGACTTTGTTTTTATCTTCTCCTTGGACAACTATTCAGTCAAGCTGTATTGATCCTACCTCCTGGTGAAGTTTCAAGTTTTATCTTTGTTCGTCCCCACTGCCACTGCCTTAGTCCAGGTCTTCTTACTTTCCTGTGGATTATTAAAATTGTCTCCTACTGCATCCTTTAGCCATATTCACCCTTAATTTATTCACACAGCAGCCAAAATGGTCTCTCTAGAGAATAGTCTGATTGTGCCCGGGCTGCTTAAACTAAGAAGCAAAACTCCTTCACACTGTTCCAGGCTTCCTCCTCATCCCTCCTCTACCAGAGAGCCACTGTTGATTTGTGTATTTTCTTACAACCCTTATTTTTAAAAATTATACAAACGTAATTAATACTTAGATGTTCATGCCTGTTATTAATATCATTGTATGTTCAGCAATTTGCTTGTTTTTCACTTAACAATATTCTAAACCTCCTTCCCTGTCAGTGTGTATGTATATTGCTGTAGCTACTGTACTCTTTTTAAAACAGCTACATAGGAAGCCATATTGTGACTGTATCCTAACTGATTTAGTCCTTTGCTCTACTGACGAGTATTTAGGTTGTTTCTAGTTTTTCATTATTCTAAATGTCTTACTAAGTATATTTTGGTGTGTATGAATGAATATATTCATTTGTATATTCATAGGAGAGATTTTTTGAAGCAAAATTTTAGAATCTAAAGATAAAAGCATTGACATTTGGATAAATGTTGTCCGCTTGCCCCCTGCTAGGTGGCTGAACTCCCTTTTACTCTCTGATTATCAGGGTGTATAGCTGCCATTTCCCTTATGCCTTCACCTGCATGTTTTCTGCGCTCTAACATTTTTGTTATTGTGGTGAGGAAAAGTGATGCCTCATCATTTCCAGTTTGCATTCCCTTCCTGGTGAGGTGTGGTAACTCTCCGTGTATGCATTCAGAATTTTTCTGAATTTCATATTCACAGTTTTACATATTCTACCTAGATTTCTATGGGTTGTCATCTTGGTAGAGGATTTTTTGGTACTCTTTATATGGTGTTGATATTTGTCTGTTCCTCCAAAAATAAGTTCTCTCCTTTACCTTTGTTGTTTGTATATTTTACTGGAGAAATAAAACAGCGCAACCTTTTCCTGTAAGCTTTAACTTGCTTAGGATGGCCTTCCTCACCCCAAGATTATAAAAGTATTCAATGTATTCTTCTAATACTTATATAGCTATTTTGTATGTTTAGATTATTAGGTCTGAGTTTGTTTTTGAGGATGGTTTACACTAGTAGTCCCTATTTTTTCCCAAATGGATAGTCAATTGTTTCAACTAACCAATTTCTAAGTTTCTAAGGTTATCTCTAACTAAGAGACTTGGAGATAGTCTAAAGCAGACCTGGATAGTCATTTAAACAAATCAAATCTCTTTTCTTTTGTCCTTTCCCTGTTGCATTTTTTCAGTGTACACTTAATTTAATCTAAGCCAGAGCAAAACTACATATGTTGACTACCTCTTTTTCCTCAGTCTTTTCTTACCTGTTTGGTGTTTTTGAAATTGTGTTTCTTAGTGACATAAAGGTGTTTATAAAGAGAGCACCATCCCCCTTGCAGGCTTCAACTGCAATAGCTCCACTAAGATCTCTTCTGTTCATTGAGTTTCCACGAAAGGTTCACATAAACAAAGGTCTCTGTTACTGACAATGGTTAAAAATATTTAATCGTTTCTTTCCTCAGGTCCTTCAGAAAAGTGTCATCATTGGAGTGATTGAAGGTGGAGATGTGATGGAGGAGAGGCTGAGGTCAGCACGAGAGACAGCCAAGCGGCCCGTAGGTGGCTTCCTTCTGGATGGCTTTCAGGGGAATCCAGCGACCCTGGAGACTAGACTGCACTTGCTATCATCGGTCACTGCAGAGCTGCCAGAGGACAAACCAAGGCTAGTGTTCAGTTAGGATGCAGGCTGGCCTCCCGGAGCGGAGTGCAGGAGTGCTGGCTGATTGTGTATTATAGAGTCTGTCCAGAGAGGTATCTTTGGATGTTGAGATTATGACATTTCTGAGTCTGGTGAGGCTGACTGTGAGAGTTTTTCCATCAAGGGTGTCCTGCCCTTGATTTCAGAATGTAGAAAAGAGGATCATTGCCATCTGAGTTACTTTATTTGATCCTCATAATAGAGAGCAAGTATTGTACTGTTTCTACTCATTCTTGTGTCAAATATAAATATTGTTCCTTATTCATTTTAACATGGGACCTAGAGACAATTATAAAATCATGTAGAGCTCTGGTTGAAATCAGGATATGTTGAAGACAGATTGAGGACAGATCTGGGATGACTAGTGAAATGAAGATGGGCTCTATTAATAAGAACCTCTAAGAAGTTTTTAGATTCGAGGCAGGTAGTGAGTGATGTCATTTTTAAAATTGAGGCGCCTGGCCACACCAGTTGGGCTGTATCTCATGTTTCTGTAAGTCACAGGATTCACTATATACAGGCAGTCCCAGAATTATGAACATCCAACTTATGCACAACACGCACTTGTGAATGGAGGCCATTACAGTAAGTCCTTGAGTTATAAACATCCTACTGACCTACAGGTAATAAGTAGTAGGACCTATTACAGGTAATATGTAAATGTGCATATTCCAACTGACATACAAATTCAACTTAAGAACAAACCTATAGGAACTATCTTGTTTGTAGTCCAGAGACTGCCTGTGTTAGTGAGATGATCATCAAGATTCAAAGCTACGAATTCCAACTGTCTGGATGTAGCTGATGTTATATTAGGCTATCTAAAGTTTCTTTATTGTCTTTTATCCCACTTATTGTGAATATTCCTGCTTTTTTCCCCTTTTATCTCCTGCATTATCTCTAGGGCTGTTGGATAGTATATATGTAATATCATCACTTTTTTAAAAATCCAGGTATAACTTAAAGTTCAAGAATGTTAAGTACAACTCAGTGTATTTTGACACATGTATGCATATGTGTAAACCCCGCCCAGAACTAGAAATTTCCATCACCCCAGCCAGTCTTTGCTCCCTAATTTAAACCTGGTTCTCTTGAGTTCCCCCTCTCCCTCCTGCACTTATTTCATTCTAGTACAGATAACAATTCACCACTAGTATTTCTAGTCATTTTTTGGACTTCTTTGCGTTAAGTGCTCACAGATGTCTGTTACTGAATTTGAAAGCTGGGATTGTTTTTCTTTTTATAAGTGTGTAGAAGTGCCAGCTTCAGTTGGAGAGGAGTTCTAAAACATTACATTACTTGAAGGAAACTGTAGTCAGGAAAACTGGCATATATTTAAGAGTTCTGCTTGTTTAATATTACATAAGCCTTTTTTGAACTTCTTTTAGGAATCAGGGAGTCTGTAAGCTTTTCTCTGCCAGTTCATGAAAAGGGGCTATGGGTAGAAAAACAAACATAAAAAAATAGCAGCAGCCAGCCAGCCCATCTTGATACAGTGGGTCTCCACATCTTGTTTAGGGGTCAAACCTGGTTGACTTGTCTTTAACAATCTCAGAATTCCTTACCCACTACAGGTTGGGTATCCTTTTTTTGAAACACTTGGGGCCAGAAGTGTTTCAGATTTTGGATATTTTTGGATTTGAGAATATTTGCATCATACATACTAGCGGAGCATCCCTGATCCGAAATTGGTAACGCTCCAATGAGCATTTCCTTTGAGTGTCATGTTGGCCCTCAAAAAGTTGAGGAGTTTGGAGAATTTCAGATTTTTGAATTAGGGATGTTCCACCTGTATCTTGAAAAACAGCATTTCATTCTACAGGGCAGACTTTTTATTAATGGAGAAATATAAAGAAAGTCAACTAGATTCTTAGACCCCATGGCCAGAGTTCAAATTCTAACAGCAAAAGTAGCTTTGTAAATGAACCTCTGAGGAATATAGTAGATAAAATGTTTTTATTGAACCAATTATGAAACCAATTATGAAAAATAATTATAAGCAAAATATAGTTAAGATGAGCAAATTATTTGAAAGGGAAACGAAGCACACAGCTTTGTACTCTTAAAACAATCTATACATTATATAGACAGGTTATAAAGTTTAGTTTAACACCAGGGAGGTAATTCAGAGAGATAAGAGTGGAAAGGAAGGAAACTAACCTTCATTGAGCTTCTCGCTATGGTGGGTGACCATTTTCAAGTCAAAGACAGTATTAGACACTTTTTCAAATACCTCATTAATCCTTAAAACAATATGGGGTGTGGGGTATTTGCTTTTGTTTTTAAAATGAGAAAACTCAGAGTGATTAAAAAACTTTCTCAAAGTGATATAGCAAGGACATAAATGGCAGAGCAAGGATTCCAGCCCAGGTCTCTCTGCCTGCAAAGCTCTCCCTTCTTTCTACCGCACCTTGCTGTGCACTGCCTGTCACTCTGACCATGGCTGGTAATTTTTTTTTTTTAATTGTTTTTAGTGCCCTGTTCATTGGGAAGACTCAGATTTCATTCCTGGCATTGTCTTCATCTCACTGTTTTTATTGTTATTTTTACAGGCTTATCTCTGGAATTAGCCGGCCAGATGAGGTGCTCGAGTGTATTGAAAGGGGAGTGGACTTATTTGAGAGTTTTTTCCCTTATCAAGTGACAGAACGGGGCTGTGCTCTGACTTTCAGCTTTGATTACCAGCCGAATCCTGAAGAGACATGTAGGTCTTTTGAACTTAATCTCTCTCTTATTCTTTCTTAAGTTTCTTCTATTTCCTATTAATTTTTGGCTTAAGTCACAAGACAGAAATAAAAAGCCAGTCTTCTATAAAACTATATCTTTGTTTCTTATCTGTGCACCCTGGCATGTTGGCACACAAAACCAGGTACTTAATACTGTACATGGAGCTCACCAATGTTAGGGTGTGATTTTGTAGTGAGCAGAACTAAGAAAAACAAAACCTTTTCTGTTAGCAACCTGAAAAACAAACGTTCAGAGTAAAGTGATGAAAATCACAAGAAAATAAAACCTTTGAACTACTTGGTAAAAGTTAATTTGTTTTTTCACAAGAGTTCTTGTCTGCTTCTTACAAACCCCATGCTATTAAAATACAGGGAGAATCAGCATCCTCTGATCTTAGTGTCACTTTTTGGTTTTTGGTTTTTTTGTATACTGAGATATGAAAGCTGTTTTCCTCTGCTAATGTTCTTTAAATCCCTGCCATTTTCTTTTATTGTTCACCTATTCAGAAGTGAAGCAAATGGGTTTCAGGGTCTGACATTTTAAATGGAAGTAGAAGAGGAACTGGGGTGGGGTGCCTTGAAGTCGTTCTGTGTGGAAGTGTTCCATGCCCAGGTCTCCTGCCTGGCTTTTGGAGACAGGCTTTCCTTACTCTTCTCTGCTGTCCTTGAACTCTTCTTCTTCACCACTCTCAGATTTGAATAGGGCCAGAAACTTCGTTAAAGGTTCATTTTATTCCCCACAAGTGATTAAAATTTCATTCAGAAGAAGTTATGCTTTTCTAATGCAACTTAACCACGAATCTAAATCTGTTTCTTCTTAGAAACAGAGGAAATCAGGTTGACCAAATTCTTATTTATAGAAGGTCAATTTCACTGCCTTCTTAGGCAGACCAGAACTTAATATACATAGATACATGTACCACTAACACTTCATAAATTTTTGTGACTTCATTTACAAACTAAATTATTTCCACCAGAACAGAGGTAAACTGTTAGTCATTTAGCACCATGAATATGCAAAGCTCTAAAAACCTGATTCTGAGTTCTCTGTAATGAACAAATTCCTTTTTGGCTAGAGGCGGGTGGATTACCTGATGATTAGGAAAACTGAAATAGTTTGTTAAAGTATTATTTTTGTGTGTGTGTATGCGTAGTAAATTAAAGTCCTTTGCTAACTATGGTTCCAAAGAATAAGTTGTCACCAATTCCCCTAAATGACAAGAATTTTTCAAAATATCCGGGCTTGATTATGGTTTACCACATCGACGAACAAATTTATGGGAATAAAATTATAATAGCTCTGTGCCCAGTGCTGAAGTCACTTTTGTTCTTCCTTTCATCTTGACAAAATTACCCTCCTAAGACCATCTGCCCTTCTAGGGCCAATACTAAAATTCTCATCATTTGTTCCCCAAATCCCTCTAATCAACTTGCCCCTGTTCAAGGCAGCTGGCTTTTTGTAGAATGGTGCTAGTGCTTCTTTTGCAGTTCCAGGAATGTTCCTTCTTAATATTTTCAAGGGAAACTCAGGTTCCCATTAAGTTCTGGACAATCTGGGTTTCTTAGAGGGCTAGAGTCTTTATACAGAATACAAAAATTAAAACCGTGTTCTAGGCCAGGCGCTGTAGCTCACACCTGTAATCCTAGCACTCTGGGAGGCTGAGGCGGGTGGATTACCTGAGCTCACAAGTTTGAGACCAGCCTGATTCAGGGCAAGACCTTGTCTCTAGAAATAGCCAGGCCTTGTGGTAAGCACCTGTGATCTCAGCTACTTGAGGCAAGAGAATTGCTTGAGCCTAATAGTTTGAGGTTGCTGTGAGCTATGACGCTACAGCACTCTACCGAGAGTGACAAAATGAGACTCTATCTCAAAAAAATAAAATAAAATAAAACTGTGTTCTACTTTAATCCATTTGGAATAGAAGCAGTTATAAAGCCCAGTTTATTTGCATATCCATTGTGATAAGGATGGGAATAACCTCTGTGTGCTCCCCCTCCACCATGCACACAACTGTTTTTTGATCACTCCTTGATGGCCAGATTTTATGTTATAAAAGCATAGCCACCATTTGCTTAGATATTGTTGAATCTCTGAATTGTTTTGGTGTTTTAGATAAAGGGTCATGAACCATGTTGGTGCATATTGCTGTTTTTTTCTTATGAGATTTCCTTATGGTAAATTCCCAGGATTGGAACTACAGAGTCAAAGGACATGAAATAATAACTAAAATAAAATTCTCCCAATGGCTACTTATCAAGCTTTTTATTGGTTTGTCCTTCAGTATTACAGCAAAATGGGACACAAGAAGAAATAAAATGTGTGGATCAGATAAAGAAAATTAAAACAACTGATTGCAACCAAGAAATGACATCATTTGAAATTAATCTCAAGGAAAAAAAGTAAGAAATTAATGATCTCTTTATTTATTTATTTTTCTTTCTTTCTTTCTTTCTTTTTTTTTTGAGACAGAGTTTCACTTTGTCGTCCTTGGTAGATTGCTGTGACATCATAGCTCACAGCAACCTCAAACTCTTGGGCTCAAGGGATTCTCTTGCTTCAGCCTCCCAAGTAGCTGGGACTAAAGGTGCCCCCACAACATCTGGCTATTTTAGGGATGAGGTCTCACTCTAGCTCAGGCTGGTCTTAAACCTGTGAGCCCTCAGTGCTAGGATTGCAGGCATGAGCCTCCATACCTGGTGTAAGAAATTTTTTAAAGTTTGAACATTTGATTTTATACTTTTTAATTTTAGTCTTTTTTAAGTTTTTCTAACTATTCCCTTTTTAGTTTATGACTTATAAAATATTTACAGTTGATATTATTTAGGTTTTCTCAAATATGGCTCCAGAAAAACTTTTTTTCTCCTCTGCAGATGAATTTGTTTGTGTGCTTCATCTTGTCAGAAAACTAAGGCTAGATAACTATTGCTTTAGAAAAGCTGTCAGAAAGATTAGAGCAAATCCATTTGCTTGGTGTCTTTTATTCCTTCGGATACCTTAAATAAGACAACACAAAACGGATTTCTTTTTGAAATGCTCTATACATTAATGGAAACAGGGGGTACAGTGTAGTGTTTTCATATACATTTTGAAATACTTTCATCAAGCTGGTTCACATAAATTTCATGTCATTTGCATAGTCATTGTGTCAAAACATTTACATTCTATTTCTAGAAAAGTTCACTTGTACCCTTGTTAGACAGAAATATAGGTGATCTTTCCGGTCAACCTCCCACCACCCACACAAAACCGATTTCAAGATGAAATATAGCATTTTCCAATTGTAAGGTACTTACGTCATCTTCTACGGTTATAGATCTTAAATAAAATGTTTGCATCTATAAGGAATGAACTGAGATATAGATTGAATATCCCTTATTTGACATGCTTGGGATCAGACGTTTCAGATTTCAGATTTTTAGGCATTTTAGAATATTTACATCATACTTACTGGATCAACATCCCTGATCTGAAATGCTCATTGAATTTCCGTTGAGCATCACCTTGGTGTTCAAAAAGTTTCGGACTTTGGAGCATTTCAGATTTCAGATTTTTTGGATTAAGGATACTCAGCCTAAATCTTGTGACTTTGTATTTGGCCAAAAATAGTAATCATCAGTGAGCCAGGGAGTGGTTTTTCTTTGAGTTTGATGATCATCCTAGAGTGCTGGGGTCTTTTTGGCTTATGTGATGGGACATTCTAGAGATTCTGACTTAACTATATTCACCTAATAATGGTATAGACTTGAGAATTTATGAAAGAATGTTCCTTACTGTTTTCTCTAGGGGCTTGTTGACTGTAGGTCTGAATTGTTGATGTCTACCGCATTTAACTTCTTGAAAAATAGTCAAGGACATTTATTTTTTAAATGTTAGTATAATATAGATGGTTACTACCACATTTAACTTCTTGAAAAATAGTCAAGGACATTTATTTTTTAAATGTTAGTATAATATAGATGGTTACTACTAAAATTCTTTTTATACTATAGATTTAATTAGAAATTATATGTAGTATTATTATTATGTGCACTAGATTTTTAGTTTTGGAGATTGAGAGACAAGTCCTAACTCTGTTCTTGACTATGTGACCTTGGTCAAGTTACTGAATTTCTCTGTAGTAACTGCATCTAATCCTTACAACTCTCTGAAGTAGGTGTTGTTATTATTTTTGGCTCATGGATGAGAAAGAAAAGCACCAGGAGAGGTAAAGTGACTTGCCCAAATGAGTTATGGAGCCAGGAATCAAATTCATGCTGGCTAGCTCCAGAGCCCTCCTGCCCTGTGTCTGTAAAATAGCTATAAAAGTGGTTATCTCCAAGAGTGGGTGCAGAGATTAAATGAGACGGTGTGTGTGAAAGTGCTTTGTAAACTGCAAAAAAAGCAATGCAAGTAGAAAGTCAGACCATGTCTTGTTACTAGTTCTGGCAGCAAGTGTGAGAGAAGACCATTGTTTCCCAACATGATATGCCTCTACAGTGTGACTAGAAAAGCTCAACTTGAGTAAGTGACCATGTGAATTTCTTTTGATGTTCCTTTGTAACAGCAAGACTGGGAGGTTGCATCAGTCAAAGGAAAACTCCTGAGTCTCTCTGACTTGTGTTCTTTCTTAACTGTTAACCATATTGCATCTCAAGCAGATGGGCAGCACTGAATGTTTGCCGATGCTGTAATTAACTCTTGGTAACCCCACCAGCAGAACAGATAGCCTCGGTTGTGGATTTCTTGTACCTCACTTTCTGGAATATCCTTGTAACTTCCTTTGTCAGGTACCAGGAGGACTTTAACCCACTGGTGAGAGGATGTTCCTGCTACTGCTGTAAGAATCACACCCGTGCGTATATCCACCATCTGCTGGTGACCAATGAGCTGCTGGCTGGGGTCCTGCTTATGATGCACAACTTTGAACACTATTTTGGATTTTTCCACTCTGTCCGGGAAGCACTAAAAAGTGACAAACTGGCACAGTTGAAAGAGCTTATCCACAGGCAAGTATCTTGAGACCTGGTGAATACAAGTCTGACTCTTTACACAGAGCCTGTACTGCTGTTAGAACATGGGACAAAATGAAGAAGAAATGCCCTTAGCTTTAATCATTTATGCTTGGGACTAAGGTCAGAAGAAATAAAGAATGTATGTGTCAAACTGCCCACATGAGGGTGAAGAGATTTCTTCTGAAGACTTAAATGACCTGGATTGATCAGAGAGAATTGAACTATGACCTTCAATATTTCTAGGCTAACTCTTTCAGTTTATAGAGATTCATTTAATCAAAAACATAAACTTTAGATGTGAGTGAGTGGACAGCGTTGAAGGGGGGGTAAGAGATTCTGAGGGGCCACTGAGTTGGAGTGAGGCTTCAGAAGAGATGACTGAGCAGCATTGACCTCTGGACACAGGCCTGTAGACTGGAGGAGGAATCTGGCTGACTTTGATCTTCATACTCAGGAGGCTCTTTTGGATACTTCTGCCTTCCAAGCTGCCCTGGCCACAAAGTCAATCAGAAATGGCTCTTGTGACTTAATTGGACTTGTATCTCCCTGGAATTTTGGGCTCAAACATTGCTCCTGTGATTGGTTGGCCCAGGTTACACTCTTTCATTTGGCCACATGGTCTGTTTATGACTTGTCTCTCTAGAGCCAAGGCAGTTGCCTGCTAGGAGCCAAAAGTTTGCCTGGTTTTCATTTGTAAGTACAGATCCACTAGGGTCTGCCTTCCAGGCTTGTTAATAGTCTGACCACATAATCACTATAGCTCCATCACTTGTGAAGATACATTTGTAGTGTGTTCACTTGGACAGGGCTCTGGCCTGGCAGAGCGAGCATCAGTTTCTGTTCTGCTCAGTGGTGACACCTGGGCTCATCACTTACGCTCTCCATGCCTATTTCCTCCTGAATAAATGGGAACAGGCATGGTGGCTAGGACTAAATGAACTTCCAATATTCTGTCTAGCTCTAAAATTTGAGGAACAAAAAGTTTTAGATATAGTTATAGCTTTACTTGTTGTCCTTGCTTATGAATCACTATTGGCCTGATAAAAGAAAGGACACAGTGCTGGAGATAGGCAACAGTAGAGATATTTGAGAGCCTAACAAGAGATTTGGCCTAAGGATTTTAAAGTGGTCGGTGAACTGGCATCAGCAGGTCCTGAGGCTGGTGATGAGGGTTCTTCCTAAGTCATTTTCGTATTTGTCAAGTTTTCAATAAGGAATACACATACATGCACATGTACACATATAGTTTTTATAAGAACAACAATAGCAAAACCAAAATGATGTACCTTTTTTGGTTGGGGTAAGAAATATATTTATTTTATATTCTTATATTTTGCTGTTTTTTCAAAATTTAATGGGCATTACTAAACGTTGTTTCTAATTATTATATGGCTGCTGTTTGCTTTATGTGTTGGGAGCCCCTCTATACGGTTTTCTTTCTAATAGTATAGGAATATCCATAAATTTCAAAAATTCATGAATATTTCTAAAACTTCTCCTACATGAATGGCAAAGGGTACTTATGGAAGACGGTTTCTGTTCTCCAGGTTCTGAGTGTTTTGAAATGTATTGGATTGGTCTTATTCATATTTTCATGTTTCTGTTTACTACCACCCCCATTGTTGGAGGAGTATTGGTAAATATCCCAGAATCCATGTAATATTTATGAGTTTTATTTATGTTCAAAACACTGAAAATTGTGTCCAATATTGTTCAGTTTCCTGGGTCGTTTTCTTATTAGCACATTTGAAAAAATGTTCCTTTTCTTTAATGTAGTAAATCTATGAAAGGCAATAGCCAAAAAAACATCTTTTATTAAAAACATTTACTGTGTTTTGCTTTCTGTAAGTCATAGTGAGTCTATTAAACAAATATTAAATTTCCATGATACCAGAAATGTTACAGAGAGTTTATTAGAAAAATTTTTTTTCTGTATTTATTTCTTCTATATTCATTGTTTTAAGAGCATTTGCACTACGTGCAGAATCCAAAAAGGGGCTATTATTCAAAGGTACACATTATGAAGATTTCCTTACCTGTTTCTTTATAATTAGGGACATTAAGGCTAACTTAGTACATAATAAAAATAAAAATAACCACAATCTATGGAGCATTTTTAATGTACCGGGCACCATGGTAAGTGATTTCCATACTTAACTCACTGACCCTTAGACTCCTCAGAGCACAGCTATGAGGTGTTCGTATTATTATTCCTGTGCTGAGAACAACTGAGTTTCTGGAGGGTTGACTTACCTGCCTCAGGGCCTACCAGAAATTTTAGGAAGGTTGAGTAGTTTGCCTAAGGGCCTATCACTACTCGGCTCCCAGGTTCATCTCAAACTCCAGCTGACTAAAATGAGACAGTTAACCATTGCACTAAATAGATTTACTTATTTTGACTTGTTCCTGAGTTGAAGGGACTGAATATAGGGGCCTTCTGGCTCTGGGGTTTTGGTGTTTTGGGAGCTTTACCGCAACTCAGCCCTGACTCCACCCCTCTCAATAGGGAATAGCTGGCACCTATAGGTTTATCTATAACACTCCTTGTCCTCACATCTCCCCTTCCTTCCCAATGTGAGACTAACCACACCCTCAGTGGTGCTGAAAGAGTTTGGGGGCTGTGATTATTTCAAGGGGACCCAGGTGATCGATAGGAGTCTGAGATTTCTTATATATCTTCGGGGAGGAATAGCCTGCTATTCCCTGGAATAAAGTGAAGGGAAAATATTCTTTTAAACCATTTTTTAAACCAAATATTAGTGTAATTAAAATATTTTAATGGAAATTTCAAAGACTGTCAAAAGGTCAAGGCTAGGGTGTGAAGCTGAAGCAGCTATCTTATCCAGGGTGTTTTTTCTGTAAGGGCAGCTTGGAGCTCACTGAGAAACCAGAGTTAAGTGATTATAGTGTGCCGTCTTGATTAGGAACAGGCTGCTCTGTGCAGTTTGATTAGTCTTGCTTGTAACCACGGGATTACAGCTTATTAAAACTGACAGTGCTGTGTAGGGCAGGGAGCCTGGAAGGTCAAACGTACTTGCTGAGCCAGGCACCAGCAAGCCTTGCCTTTACCTAAAGGTTTGCTATAATTGGCATTCATTTTCATATTCCTTTTAATTCCCTCATTTTTTCCCCAACCTTCAAGTCTCTTCCTCATTTTATACCTTTCATTTCTTTCTCATGAGATACCCTGATTTGTGAGCACAAAACTCACGTAACAGCGGGCAGAGAAAATGAGGCAAGCCCAGCGTAAGCAGTGTGAATTCACATAATCACACATTCTTACAGTTTATGAAAATCCTCGTTTATGCCTGTGGTTCAGATGTAATTACTAACAGCCCTCTCCCCTTTTATTCTCAAAAGTGCCCTAGTTTGCACAAGTTTTGTGGTCGCCCTAAGGTGAATGGTAGAGATGACCAAACTAGAGAACAGGTGCCCTAGCTAAACAGGACAGCTGCTACCCACATCTAGCTAATTGCTGCTGTGTGGGTCCAAGGCTGCCATATATTTTAGTCTTTTAAGAGAAGCCAGAAATCTGGTTTTCAGGTGAAATTTCACAAGTTTTAAAGGTTGGAACAATTTTTTGAAAATATTCTGCTAACCCAACAAAACTTAATTTGCAACTTCTGGCTTAGAATCTGGAAGGAAGGCTTTGGCATCTTTAGTATTAAAAATTTCTCACTGATAAAAATAAACAGAAAATGTGCCTATAGTTTCTAGTCCTGTAGCTGTTGATAGATTTCCACATTAAGAGAATCCACGTTGTCCCATTGCATGATGCTCAGATAAATCCCTGAACTACTCTAAATCTGCCAAAAGGGAAGTTATGCATCATCTTGTTCAATCTTCTGTTTTATGGATAAGAAATTTTAGGCCTGGAGAAGAAAGTAGCCATCACTTGCATCTTTTCTCTTTAAAGAATGTCTAGGTTCACAATATAACACAATATCATAGACTAGGTGTTTAATAAACAAAAGAAATTAGGCCAGGTACTGTGGCTTATGCCCATAATCCTAGCACTTTGGAAGGCTGGGGGTGGGATTGATTCAGGCCAAGAGCTCAAGACCAGCCTAAGCAAGAGCAAGACCTATCTCTACAAGACATAGAAAAATTAGCTGGGTGTTGTGGTGCCTATCTATATTCCAAGTTATTTAGGAGACTAAAGCAGGAGAATTTCTTGAGCCCAGGAGTTTGAAGTTGTTGTGAGCTATGATGACACCACTGTACCCTAGACTGGATGACAGAGTGTGAACTTGTCTCAAAATTTTTAAAAAAAGGAAGAAATTTCTCACAATTTGGAGGATCCAAGTCTGAGATCAGGGTGCCAGCATGGTCCGGTTCCAGGAAGCTCTTCCCAGATGTTGACTACTTCCTTCTTTTTCTATCTTCACCTGGTGGAAGGAGGGCTAGAACACTCTCTGAGATTGCTTTTATAAGGGCACTAATCCCATTCTTGAGAACTCCACCCTCATGTCCTAAATTACCTCACAAAGGCCCACCTCTAAATATCATCACTGGGGATTAGGATTTCAACAAGCCCATTTTGAGGGGACATAAACCTTTGGTCTGTAATGAGGAGTTCAAATGTGCACACATTCCTTTCCAGTTACCGCCTTGGCTGGCCTACATCTCATCCTTATTTTCTGCTGGGCTTGTGCCCTTCCAGGGTCAGCATCAATTTCCCAGTAACTTTCCAATGATGCTTTCTGGCCTCACAAAACCAGCTGGACATAAGGGCTCCTATTGCACCTTCCAGCATTAATAGCAACAGCCCTGGCTAACGTAGTGAAATCTCAATTACTGTTTGTCAAGTGAACGAGTATTTTCAGGGTAGCTAAAGCGTTACCTTCAGATTTTAGTCAGCTGAGTGCTAGTGAGAAGTGACTTACACAGCAGTACGTGGTAGGACCTATGCTGAATGTCTTGTCAGTGGTGGTTTTATCTCACTTTATGCTAGGCAAGCTCCCAGTGTCCTGACACATTGTTTTATTTTTTTATTCTTCTGTGACTCGTTCTACTTTCTACCATTATCTTTTAGGGCTGGCCTCAAAGCAATTTCCCCTGCTCTGACAAGAGGAACTCAGGGTGAACTTTTCTTTTGTTCTCATTCCTCACAATCCACTTGGAGACCAGGCCGAAGTTGCCAAGGAGTTCAAACAGCCCTGTGCTTCCCCCACCATGAATCAGAGAGATTAGCGTCCTCTCTGCACACTTTCCCTAATGTTCCCCTTTCTCCCTGAACCGCTCTCCCCTGCTGTCTGCTCCTTTGTCTGCAAAACACATTTTCTCTTATTATCACCTTGTTCCCTGCCTGCTTTGGATGGCTTCAGCTTGTCTCTTAACAAAATCAAGATGTTGCTATTAATGGTCTTCTCTTTCTTGACAGCTTAGAGTCACTTTATTTAGTCCTTTTCCCCCTCCCCTCCCAAACCACATCATCATCCCTGCTTCAAACAAAAGTGGTATAACTGTTTCATAACCACTGCTTTGTAGTTGCTTTCAAAAATGCACAAGAGGGTGGAAGAGATTAAAGCAAGGGCAGAAAAACCAAAAGGAGAGGGGGTAAGGGATACTCCAATAACTGAGAAACAGGGCAAGCATCTTCAGACCTCTTCTTTTTTGAAGAAATTTAGGCAAGATTATTAGCCCACAAGACTGAACATCGCAAGCTCTGTGGTCTTGTAAAGTCTTCCTCTAATTCTCATGGAGGGATGGGAAAATGGCCTCCCCTCTGAGGATCTGTTTTCCTTCCAAAGCATTAAAATATTGTCTTAGAATTGTTGGTTGTAAATCCTTCATCGAATCCAATTATGTAGTAGATACCAGTTTTTCACATCCCTCCCCCAAAGCTAAAATATTTACTCAATTTTCCATCATTTCCCATTTCCTACTCATTTAGTTTTTACTTGAACACACTTAACCTTTCCATCACAATTCCATTTATTGTTCTCCATAACGCTAGCGAAAGAAAACACAAACTATGGGGATAAATTCAGTTCCCACATAGTAATTACACATCAGAAGGGAAAAAAAGAGAGTGACAGTATGTTCATTTTTTCTTTTTTAGACCCTCCTATTTCATGGGTTTTTTGTTTCTGTTTTTCTTTTTTTGGTAAAACATCCCTTCCAGTCATGTTGAAAAAGTAAAGTTCCACTTTACTTTTCCACCTGAACATTTAGGTATTACTGCATATCCAACATGTCAAAACCCAAATTTACTGTCTATCTTCCTTCAGTAAGATGTTTCTCCTCTTGAACTCCATTGCCTATG